GGTGGCTGCTGGCCTGGCCCCCTCTTCACTCAGTTCACAGGCTGCACCCTCTTGCCAGCCCGGGTGCCTCTCGGGGGGATCAGAGTCCCCAGTCCCCTCTGTGGCTGCCTAGGGTAGGGATCTAATTTATTTATTTATTGCCTGGCCTGTGTGCTGTGGGGGGTGGCAGCCAAGTCAGCCACTGCCCCTGTCCCCTGAAGCGGAGTTTGCATGTCCCCCCACCTGCACAGGGGACACAGGTTGTGTTTGAACATGTGTGGGAGGATTGGTGAGGGGGAGACAGACCGAGGGGCGTATCTCGGTTGGTGGGATGCGAGACGTGACTCTGAGGGGCGAGAAGCACAGGGCTGCTGCAGGGCTGGGTCTAGGGCCAAGGGTGACTGCCCACTGCATACGCCGCTTCGTCCCGGCGTCTGGCCTGCATACGTCTGCACTGTAGATACCGCATCGAGTCGGGGCGTCCGTCCAGATAGTTAACAGAGCTGCTTCCGTGTAAATGCTATTTTAAACATTGAAAAGCATTTAATTTTGTGGGGCTGGTGTGTGACCTTTGTCTTTTCTCCCCCACTTTTGGAGACTGGGGTGCTGGGGCAGGTCAGCCTCCCCAGGACTGGCTGGGTGCTGCCCCGAGTGCAGCTAGGTGAGCTCCTGGCCACAGCAGCTCTGGTGGGGGGTCTGCATCTGGTGCTGGCTCCTGGCTGGAGAGGGTCCTGTGGCGGGCACTGGTCTTGGTGCTGACACCCCTCCCCCGTGTGGGCTCTGTCCGTGGTGCTAGAGTCAACAGCTCTCATTCTAGTGGCTGGGGCCCACCAGGGAGAGAGAAAAGGAGGCGGGGTGCTCCCTCCCTCCTGAGCAGCCCTCTGTCCCACGGTCAGACACATGCCCCTGCAGAGGGGTCAAGACGACCCCAGCCCACCCACCCACCACCCACTCCTGTGATGCTTGGAGAGGGAGCTGGGTGGGGGCCTCAGGTCGGGCCCAGCCAGGCAAGTGATGCCCAGCTTGGCCTTCAAGTGGTTGGGCCAGGGGCTTTCCTGAGTGCTCAGCATGGGCTGCAGGGGCCCACAGCAGCCCTCCACGGGCCTCTGCCTGGAACAGTCGGGCTGGGTCACCTGTGCAGGCCAAGGCTCTGCTGGGACAGGGAAAGAGCCTGACTCTGGGGCTGCAGGTGGTGAGACCCCACTGGGCCGAGGCTCCTTGTGCACACTGCTGGCCTGGAGGTCACTGTGGGGTCAAGGACAGCAGAATCTAGGGGCGGGGGGGGGTCTCTGCAGTCTGGGCACAGTCTGCAAGTTGCTGTGTAGGGACTTGGTGTGGGCCTGACTAGGTCTGAGTTCACTGGGGTGAGGTCATCAGGTCAGGGGTCACTTGTTCTTTCCCTGGGTCTCCTCCCCACCCCAGCTGCCGCCCACCCCTCTGCTGTCGCCCAAACCCCCGCTCAGGAAGAACTCGGGGGTGTTGAGGTCTGGCCGCCACAGCAGCAGGTAGCACTTAGGCAGGTGGAAGGTGGCCAGGATGCCCAGCGCACAGAGGAGGGTGGCGCCCATCTGCACCGCGGGCTGGAAGACCACGTGCACGTTGGCAAAGAGGGGCACGAAGGAGACCCAGGTGACGAAGTAGGCCAGCATGGCAAAGGTCAGGCTGCGGGCGCCATTGTAGTGGCTAGGCCGGCTCTGCACCAGGAAGGTGCCCAGGAAGCACAGGAAGGCCAGCGTGGCGTTGACGGCGTGCACGAGGCCGAAGCTGACCCAGGAGCGCACACGGCAGTGTACCAGCGCCTCTGTGGGCAGCATCTGCCAGTCCGTCACCATCTCCGGTGGGAAGGCCACCAGGTACCAGGTGCAGAGTGCTGTCTCCACCAGCATGGCGAGCAGCACTGCCAGCCAGGCCCACGGCCCCCACAGGAGGCTCTGCAGCCAGTCTGCCCAGCCCGGCGGCAGCTCTGACCTCACAAAGATCTCAGCTGCCTGCAGGAAGAGTGTGCTCAGGCAGCCAGTGAGTGGGAGGTGGAGCAGCAGCTGCTGGGCCAGGCAGATGGTGGGGCTGGGCCGGCCGGGGAACAGGAGGACACTGAAGCAGACGAGGCCCAGGCAGACCAGGCCAAAGCAGGCCCGTGGCCCACCTGAGGCCCGCACCAGCGGGCTGTCCCAGTGCCAGACGAAGAGTCCCAGGGCCACCAGCACCAGGCTCAGAGCCAGGCCCAGCACCACGAGCAGTACCAGCACAGCCGGCTCCCCCCACGCCAGGAACCTGTGCCTGCGGGGGAAGCACTGGGTGCTCCGGTCCGGGGACCACTGGTCCTGGTCACACTGGATACAGAGGGGTTCATCTGAGGTGTGGGAGGAGAGAGGGGTGCTGGGGGCCACTGGCTTATCCCAGACTCACCCCTGCCATGGGCTGTGGCCTCAGAGCCAGGCCTGTGCTCCTGACCCTGCAGGGACCCTCCCCCTCTCCTGCTTCAGCGTGGGCAGGCCCCCTCGGCGGGCTCACCTGGGTTGCGCTGGTAGCTGCCAGCCTTGCAGTCCACACAATCGTAGCAGCAGGAGTGGAAGCCCTTCACACGGCGCACCTGGCCCTCCCTGCACTGCCGCGAGCACTGGGACACCGGCTCCTGGGACAGGGTGTTGGGGCTCAGGCTCTGCTAGGCCTCAGCAGAGCTATGTGTCGCTGGGGACATGCGCCCCGGTGCTCACCTCGTTTCCCTGCGTGTGCCAGGACATCTGGGAGTGTTGGAGCTGCAGGCGGCCGTCGAAGGTGCCCACGGTGTGCAGCGAGGGCGTCAGGTCCTTCCAGACCCACAGCTTGAGGTCATAATTCACGCCTATGTTCCCGCTGCTGTCGAACCGCAGCATCAGGCCACGTGCGTGGAAGCTCAGGTTGTACATGTTCTCCAGGAGCTAGTGGGAGGGTTGGAGGGTGGTGGGTCTGGGCAGGGAGCCGCCGCCAGTCCAGAGCCACCCCTGCCCTGCCATCCCTTCTCCTTGGGGGCTCAGGTCACATGCACAGCCGGCCCAGCTCCCATGCCCTCACCTGCCAGGGCTGCACGGGCTCCCGCTGGGGGCAGCCTGAGGCGTTGCAGAGCAGTGCATTGTGGAGCGCCTGGGCCACGCCGTACACGGCCGCATAGGCCGCAAACGTCCGGTGGTGCAACAACGCAGCTGACACGTTCTCCAGTGTGATGTGGTCACACTGGGGACAGCGGGGTCCCACCACGTGGTCCTCCAGGCCTGCCTGCTCAGCGTCCAGTGAGGCGCAGAAGGCAGGATCGGCAGCCAGGGCCAGGCGTGTCTGCACGTAGGATGAGAAGTCGGGCATCGGGGCGCCCTGGTGCAGGAAGCCGAGCACGGTGCCCACCTGGTCCATGCCAGGCAGCGTCATGACCAGGTCCGAGATCAGCCAGGCCTCGCTGGCCACCCACACCTTGGGTGAGAGTTTGCAGTGGATGCTGTAGCTGAAGAGCATGCGGGCCGAGTGGGCGGAGGAGAACACCACCACCACCTGCACGCTGCTCTGGTTCACCTGCTGCAGCAGGCCCTGCACTGAGCCCAGCCTCAGGCTGTTGGCGTAGGGCAGTGGCACCAGGCCCTCGTGCGCGATGCAGATGCCCCTGGCGGTGGCCAGGCTGGAGAAGAGGCTCAGGCCCTGCCGGCCATATTCATCGTCACTGCCCACGGCGGCCACCCAGTTCCAGTGGAACTCCTGCAGCAGCTCCACCATGGCCATTGCCTGCACACGGTCGCTGGGCACCGTGCGGAAGAAGGAAGGGAACGTCTCACGGTTGCTCAGCCGGTCGATGCTGGCGCCATAGCTGACCTGCAGGGCCGGGTGACAACTCCTGACACGGTGGCTCCCGAGGTGCCCGTGGGGGGACACGGGAAGAGACGGGGGCGCACCTGGGGCATGAGGAAGAAGCTGAAGAACTTGCCGGTGACCAGGGCAACCTCCGACGAGTGGGGCCCGATGACAGCCAGCACGCGGGGCTGGTACTTGGTGTAATCACAGTAGGCGGCGATGCTGCGGCTGCCCGCCTTGGCCAGGAACACCAGGCTGGGCTTCATGGCGACTACGGGCTCTGAGCACGTGTCAAACAGATCGTAACCTAGGCGCAGCCCTGGGAGCAGGGCAGACCCATTGTTGATCTCCTCCACAGCCATCTTCATGGCCAGTGCCCAGAGCAGGCCGAGGGACGAGAACCTGGGGCCACAGGGGCGGAGGTGGCTGACACCGCTTCCTCGTGGGGCACACCCAACCCAAGCCACCCAGCCTGGCCCCCCACTCCTGGCCCCCCTACCTGCATTCAGTGGTGTTGGGCCATGTCTTGTCGCCCAGCCTTGCATCCTCGGCCGAGCCCAGGGGGAAGAGCCCGCCCAGCACATAGTCCCCTGGCATGCTGAGCTGCTGGGACAGGCACAGAGGGGCCCCTGCCCCCAAGCCCAGGAGAGCCATGAGACCCAGGAGAGCCATGAGGCCCGGGAGAGCCAGGCGTGGCATGGCAGATGGCAGCTTCCAGAAGGGATGGCAAGAGGGAGAATCGAGTGGGGCCCCAGATATGGTGAGTCAGGGCAGGGAGGGGCGGAGGAATTTGTTTAGCAAAACATTCGCCCGTCCTCACCTGCCTGCCCAGGGCCCCGCAGACATCCTCTACTTCCTGGGCCCCCCAGCTTTGCTCACATTGGACTGTTATCCTGATACCACCACCAGGCTCTGTGGCCAACAGTGATCCGGGCATGCAGGCTCTGGGCAGCCACTGACCATGACCTTGTTACCTGCCTGTGCCCAAACCCCTGGAGCCCACCTGTTCCTCGAGGGGAGACGGTCATGCAGGACCTGTCCACCAGAGGGGCGTGGAGCCTCCAGTTGCCTGTGGGACAGGCTTGGACGTTCCAGTGCCCCAGGGAGTAGCCATAGAAACAGTGTCTCCAGCCCTGGGGAGGCACTGCGGGCGAGGGGCGGGCGCTGGAGCGGGCAGGTGCCTCCCCGTGGGAACAGAGCTCACAGCTGGGCCTGTGGAGGGTGCATGCAAACAAGGGAGGAAATGCCACAACCAAATGGGCTGCTGCAGCTGGGCCAGCACCAGGTGTGCACAGGGACCTGATGGACAAGCTAATAGCTCCCCCAGGCCTCTGGATGCTTGGCGACTGGTCTCCCCTGGCCTGGGGCTGGGGCCCTCATGCACGTGGGAGCCGGGAGCCAGGAGCCGGGGCAGGCTAGCAGCAATGCCCCTGGGGTGGGGTGGGGGGCCTACCAGACATTTATGGGATGTGGTCTAGGAACCTGGTCTTTGCCTGTCCCCACTGCCCTACGGGGAGGGCCCATGCTGCACAGCACATTATGGACCCACGCACACACACACACATGCAGAACGCACACGATACACACGCATGCAGAGCCCACATCTGCATGTTTGTATATGCGCATGCACACATGTGCAGCCCTCACTCTCTGGCCCAGGCGGGCCCCAAGGTGTTCTCCCAAGCCAGTCCCTCATTGTCACTGGCCTTTGCTGGCACCACACAGGGTTCTGGTCCCTCCTGGGTGGACAGAGCTAGACAGGCCGCAGCCAGAGACTTGGAGGTGGCTTGTATTGGATACTGCTATTCAGTTCTGATCTCTGGGCCATGTCCAAAAGGACCCTGCTTGACGTATGTCCTCTTTCCATCCAGGCCACTGACACAGAGCAGCCCCCTTCACTGGCAGCAGCCCAGGCAGATCTTTATTCTCCCCATAGTGAGTGTGGCTGGCCTCAGACTGCCCTCCCAACCCAGCCCTTAGGTGATTCTGTGACTAAGTCTTCTCACCTATGAAATGGGGACAGTAATGTGGGCCTTGGCAGGGGTTAGGGGGGACCAAGCTAAAGCCTGCAGAGATCCCTAACACGGGCCGGGGCCGGGGCCTGCCTCATTTTCCCGTGCCTGATACTGCCCCGAGAGCCTGGACACCCGTCCTGGCGTGCAGTATCTGTTCTGTAAAAGCAGTTTATTTACACTGGTAAAGCCATCACCACATTACAGCTTCTAAGGGCCCCCCGCCGTGGCTCACACTTACGTACATCTGCTGTGGATACCATCCCTTGGCACCCAAAGTCCTGGGCTCACAGTGAGAAGCCAGTGGGAGAGGCCGGGCCCTGAGCACAGGGTGGTGGTCAGGCTGGGCAAGGGGTCCAGGCTCCTCCCTCGTGCTAGGTCACCCTGAGTTTCTGGAGCTCCCTGGGGGTGGGGCGGCAGTGGGTAGGGAAGAGGGAACAGAGCATCTGGCTGGACTCTGGGGAGGGAGAGGCCAGCAATGGCCCAGAGGGGTCCTAGGCTCCTGGGGGCTCTCGGGCTGTGCTATACACACTCACAAGCTGCAGGAGGCAGTGACTGTGTGCAGGTCTGCAGAGGTGGGGCAGGCCTTCCCTCGGGCTCCAGGTCCTGCTGTCACAGCCGAGTGCAACCAGGCCCCTGGCTAAGGAGGCGACGGGCAGGGAGAAAGCCTGCCATGCTGACCACTGCCCAAGGAGTTTTCCTGTCCTGGGGATGGTGGCCTGTATGGAGAGGCCCAAGGCAGCCCAGCTGGGCAGATGCCGCGTCCCAGGGCCTGTTACCTCCCCCATCTCACAGACTTCACCCCCAGGTTGGTGCAGCTTTCCCACGAACACTGATGGTAACCCACTCCCTTCTCCTGCACTTCACCCACCTGGGCGAGGCTTGACTGGACACATGTGTAACACGGCTGAGGGTAAAGATAAGGTGCCCCAGGGAAGGGAGAGGCCAGGCGTGGAGCAGACAGCCAGTGCCTGCCTTCTGTCGCAGCCCACCCGTAGCCCGTGTGCAGTGGCTGGAGGTGCGGTCCGAGTGGCTCCCGACAAGCTCAGCTCACAGGAGGACAGTGATTTTCCCAGCCCTGGGGGACCCAGAAAGTTCCATGGTGGAATGACGGACAGGTTCTGCCCGTCCCAGCCCAGCTCTGGATGAGGGAAGCCCACCCTGCCCGGGCCTGTCAGTCCCTAGGGCAGGTCCAGCAGGCCGTGCTCGGCGTAGAGCTTCTGGGAGACGTTGTAGACGCGCTCGATGAAGGGCAGGGCCTCGTCCAGCATCTCCACAGCCTGCTCGGGTGGCCCCACGTTCATGGTCTCCAGGAAGACCTTGCGTGTGGGCAGCGTGCAGAAGGCCACGGTGACGGCCCGGCGGATGATCCAGGGGTGGTAGGCGGCCAGCGAGGCATTGTAGGAGTCGGTGCAGAGTGCAGTGGTGCTTGCATCCTCGGGGCTGGTGCGCACACCCTCCAGGAAGAGCTGCAGCCAGTGCAAGGCGCGGTGTAGTCGAAGCACAGTCCGGCAGCCTGAGTTGGGGTGGCGGGCGCGCTGCTGCAGGTCCACTAGCTGGTTGCCCACTTCGTACGCCACCATGGACTGCAGGCTGCTATAGTGCTCCCGCTGGGGGCCGCTGCGCAGGCGCTCCATGGTCTGCAGCTTCGCCACCACGTCCTTGGAGATGAAGGAGAAGACGGTGCCCAGGCCGCTCAGGAACCTGCGAGGGAGGCAGGTGCTCAGCCAGGGCGGGAAGGCTCAGCACGACTGGCCAGGGGCAAGCAACAACAGCAGGCCGGCCCCCAACAGGCCCGTGCCTGCCAGTGCTGGTGGAATGCAGGTGGCGCCCACCGCAAGTGTGGCTGGACCCTCGCAGGGCAGGGGCCCTTGCACGCACCTGACAGCCCCCTCCAGCCGGCGAGGTAGTGGTCCAGCAGCACCTCCTCCTTCTCATTGAGACACTGCTTGAAACTGACCAGGACAACTTGGAGACTGAATTCTGACTCCAAGGCATCCATTCTTCAACAGGAGCTGAAATGCACAGAGTTGGGTGGAGGGTTGTCTCCCTGTGAGTCAGCTCAGTCTCTGGGTCATTGTTTTGGACAGAAGCAATTGGACAGAAACAGCTGGGATCCCGCTGCTCCCCACTGAAAGCCCGAGAGAAGCCCCACCCCAAGGTCAGCCCCTCCTCCGCGAGCCCACCGGGCTGTACTCAGGAGCAAGCTCGCAGACACACGACCTGGCCCTGCTGTGCCCTTTGCCAGAGCACGTACCCACAACTCATAGTCCCTCCTGCCACTCGGGCTTGGCAAACCACTGCCACGCCTTACTCGAGGGAGGCATCTCTGCTCAGCTTTTCTTGCTTACTTGTTCATTGTGTCTTACTGTTATTATGAGAAGCATTTGCTGAGTCCCCACCCAGAACCAGGCACACACTCAGGTGCACTGTGAGTGCGACAGACAGCCAGGCCATCCTGGGGCCACAGTCTAGTGGCAAACGTCTGTGTATGTCGGGTAACAACAAAGATAGGAAGTTCCAACACGGTAGGTAAAAGGACAAGTACCACAGAGAAAGAGCCTGTGGACTGAGGTGGGAGCATCCTTGTTCAATGCTGAATCCCAAGAGCCAGAGCAGGGGCTGCAAGGTCAGCATCTGCTGACAGATGGACAGACACCAGTCTTTCCAATCCTACTGTACTTACATGTCTCACACAGAAGGGCAGCTGGACCAAAGGTCTTCCCACATTCTCAAGACATCCACAGGCCCCTCCCCATGACCACACATTAGTGGGTGTTCAGGGCCTGCACTGTGGTGTGGCTCTAGCAGGGACTTAGCTGTATCTCACCTCACGTCCAGGACAAGTTCTTACCCCTTTGGGCATGGGGTTTCCTGTGCCCTTGGTGCTGGGAGTCCTGTGGGAGCCCCAGTGGGAGGAAAGCTGCCCAAGCTACGGCGAAAGCCAGGCAGGAGAGAACACCTGGGTGCCTGAACAGGTTCTGCCTTCCACCCCGTGGGCAAATCACACACAGTCCTGAGACCCAGTCCTACAACCTGGGGGGGAATGGGCCAGCACACCCTGCCCTGGCCACCACCCAGGCTGCTGGGAGCATCTGATGAGGCCCAATGGGTACCGAGGCCCTGCAGGCCCCACGGGCTGGCCGCATGTCTGGCTGCAGGCCGAGAGCCCAGAGGTGAGCACATCCACCCTTCAGGTGTCGGGGCAGCAGTGCCTGGCCTCGGGAAGAGGGCACTCCCGAGACTGTCAGGACACCGCTCCTCTCTCTCAGAGCCTCAGGTTTCTGTCCACGAGCGGATGGCCTCTGAGGCCCTCAGGCTACCTTCCTGGTCACCAGACATCCTGCGGGCCTGGCCTTCCTGCCCAGAATGCGAGCCAGCGGCCAACAGGAGGTGCCGGAGCCTTTCAGAGCTTGGAAACAACAGGAAGGGCAGTGGCGGTGCAGCCCAGATGGGCGGCCTGCCAGCTCTGGAAAGGTGATGCAGGGCACCGCCATGTTTCCCCCAGGGTCAGCCCACAGCCCCAAGGTCAGGAATCGTCCGGAGGCCGGCCTGAGCACCGGAGCCGAGTGGCTGACAGCAAGCTGAAGGCCCCCAGGAAAAGGAGGCAGCCCTCCCTGCCCTACCCCTCAGGTCCAGAGGGTGGGAGCGGGGCTTTGTCCGGGAAGTCCTGCAAGTCTCTCCCGGGAAGGGGGCTCAGGTGGCGCCGGGCTCGCTTGGGTGGGACCCCGGTTCTGGGCGGGTCCCGCTCTAGCTGGGGCCCAGGAAGAGACAGGGACCTGGGGTCCGGGCAGGCGCGGGAGCCGGGTCCTTGGCTGCCCCCTCCCGCGCCCAGGGTCCCGCGTTG